TATACGTTTAAAAGCTTGTTTATATGTGTAGGTTAAAGGATATACACATTCTAATAAGAGAAAGAGAGACAGAGACAGAGAGAGAGAGAGAGAGAGAGAAAGAAAGAAAGAAGAAAAAGTATGTATTTGGTAAATGAATGGAGTCTACAGATAGATTGCCATTGTATTTGTTCGTCGTCTACGTATAAAAGGAGAAGGGATTATAGATAAAATTATATGTGTATATATAGAGAATATATTGTATAAATGGTACATTCTATAAAAGAATATATATTCTATACATAGTGAATGTGTGGCTTTGAAGCACCTTAGATATTGCTTACCGCGCACTAATTACACATTCTCTCTCTTATGGTGATGATATACTTAAAAAATATGAGCTTTTATACACCTTCTTCTATTCTATTCATAAAGGTATCGTTTGCAGTATTAGTCAATTTCATATCCCACGTGATGTTGTCCAATCCTCTCTTCTTTTTTTTAATTATCGCATATTACCATTAAATAAATTATTCGACTTAAATTTATAGGCCAAAAGAGAGAAGGGAGATTAGCAGCCGACGGATAGAAATAGCGAGAAAAGGGGAGAGGAAAAGAGGAAGCAGAAAAGGAAAGAGATACTAAATAGAAAAGAAAAAAGAGATGATAGGCCTGAAGGTGTATTAAAAACAAAGCAGGCTATAGACAGGGAATATCTGTTTAGAAAAATAGTTGCCTTTCAACTGAATTGAACGATAAAACAGCGAAAGAGAGAATGAAAGAGTTTTTATTAATATAGTTTGAAACGTATCGATTGTAAAAGCTAATATATCAATATATCACCCCTTGTCTTTATTAAATATGATAAATAACCGTTTGGAATTATAGAATTAGAAAACACTGGCCAAATTGATCGCGTTAAAAGAATTCCGGACGAAAATAAGATTTATCGTTCAGATAATCTTATTGTCGTCAAATTTCGTCTACAGAGGGCGCTATCCGAAATACAAAGGAAATGAAATAAATAGAGTGTTGATCACATTTCCAGGAAACGAAATAAACTCTTTTCATTCCTTATGAAAAAGCCGGGAAAGGAACAAGTCGAACGAAGAGAATAGTAGAGAAACTGTGATGCAAGGGGTAGAGAGTCTAATACTAGTTATAAAGAGAGAAACGATTACGTATATCATTCATTCCTCCTTTATTCGTTATGTAAATAATACACTTTTATACACAAAGTTTCTCGTACTTTTCGAAAATTTACCACTATAAGTTAAGCAACTTTTATCCTCTTCCTCTCCCTCTTTCTCTCCCTCTCTCTCTCTCCCTCTCTCTCTCTCTCTCTCTCTCTCTCTCTCTCTCTCTCTCTGATTCCATCTCTATTCGTCTTCTTTTATTATTTTATAATTTCTAACCTATCCATTAGGTAATTGACAAACGCCATTACATACATTATACAGATATAGTATTTAGTTGTTGCTATTGTTGCTGTTTTTTTTTTATATTGAAGAACAATCACTCTTCCTTTAAATTATTAATAAAAACTATCGACTAGTTGAAAGTTAATCATGAAATGAAAGTGAAAAATCTGTTAAATTGGCATTTCAAAAAATTAAAAATGAAAATCAACTAAAAACAAACAAATGTTAAATTAATGAATTTTTACATCGGCCTCTTTTCTTTCTTTCTCGTTTTCTTCATCTCATTTCGTTACCCTGCCACTTTCTCTCTCTTTCTCTAGCTCTTATTGTTATCAATAAATTCTGTAAGCCTTTTTCCCCCAACGTTCTCTGACACCCCGAGAGGAATTTACAGCCAGAGAGGTAATTCATTTCAAAAAGATGGCGCTACCGAAAAGCGTAAAAAATGAAAGAGAGAGGGAGGAAGGGAGAGAATGCAAAAATATGAATAGACACAGAACGGGGGTACGACACGGGAACGGAGAAATGTTGGCCTGAAAGAATAATTGAACAGTCGACTGTGTGCGAGAAACGGAGAAAGAGAGGGATAGTGAAGGGGAAATAGAAAAAAAAGATAAAGATTAGACGCCTCGCGTGACGCCGGACAACAAGTGCTTCGTCGCTCCGATAAAATTGGTTTATCGTCCACGCTTAGTATTAATTCCCTTTTTACAATAGCCCAGTTCTGTACACTTTTGGGGGCAAAGGATTAAAAAAGGCATCGGCCCCCAAATTAATTTGATTTTCGTTCAATAGGGAAAAAAATGTATTTTCATGCGAAGCAATCCGTCGATTTATCAGAATTATACAGGTTGCCGAATAGGTTACATTCGTCTAACCTCTAACCTCCAGCAGTCTTTTCGTATTACTGCTTATAGCTGTTCAAACTTTGTTGTTTATAGCCGGGGTTACTTTAACGAAAAACAGAAGAGGTCGGCAGGGGTTAATTTTTGCATTGCGAGAAGAAGGCGGAAGAAGAGGGAAAACCGACGAATGTGCTCGATTAAATTAGGAGCAATTGAGTATTTTGAATTACTAAGGAAAGAGGGTAAAGAAGAATGGGGAAGGGGGAGGAAAAGATGAAAGAATTTTCCAGTAAAAGCAAATATGAGTTTGGCTAATATTGATTTATTAGTATGTGTTTTTAGGGGCTTCTTTCAAGCAGCCTATCGTCAGCTTAGACGGACTTTTGGGGTAAATCTCTGTCAATACATGAGCCGAAATATATTAAAGAAATTCCCTGTTATTACATACTCCTTATATATATCTTAAATATATACACATGATTTAATTTTTATTTGAGGATTTTTGTAAATCTCTTTTGATGATGCCGAAACTGAAATGTCCATCTAGAGAAGGAAGGGAGTAAGGCAATTAAGTAGGTAGGTAGGAGAGTTGAAAGATGTAGAAAGAGGAGAAGAAAAGAGGCAGAGACAAAGAAGAAGAGAGGGAAGAACAAGAAGAAGAAGAGGAAGAAGAAGCAGTATATACAGTATATGTATATATATATATATATACATACATACAGTATATTTATATAAAGAAATATAAATTCTCAAATATAAACAGATGTTGTTTAATCAAATAAATTTCTACTTCTTTTTTCGCTCCAAATTAATTTAGACGTTAAATGTAAAGTGTTGGGAGGGGGCGGTTTATAGCCTTCTTCTAAATCTCACCACCAATGGATGAGCGTATGCAAATAAGACAGATGCCTGTCTATTACACGCTTCCCTTCGCTTCTGCTACACAACTAAAGTATTTTTTTCTTAATTCAATTCAGTATTACGTAATCTGTCTTTTTATCTCTTACTCTCCCGCTCTTTTTTTCCCTGTCTCTCTCTCTCTCTGTCTGTCTCTCCCCTTCTCACCTTCTGTCTCTAAGCCTATTTTTATATTTAGAAATTATTAGCATAAACAAGATAAATAAGCAATCAAAGAAAATGAATTGAATTGAATTTATTTGAATTTTTGCTCCAAATTGCAAAAGTAGCTTTCTCATGCTATTCGTTAAAGTTCAGAATATTACTTGTTTTTTTCGTTGTATTTAAAAGAAAAAGAAAGAGAAGAAGCAGAAGAAGAAGAAGAGACGAAAACTTGAAATAGACAGTATATTGAAAAAGTGAATAAATAGTTTAGTTTGCAAAAGCTGCTTTAGATTTTTGATTTGCAGATTCTTTGTATTTTTCGTTTGGAAAATGTCTTTTGAATAGAATACATAAATATGACTTTTGGCAATAAACTATACTTTTATATGTATGTATGTATGCATACATATACTATACATACTGCATTATACAATATACGTGCTGTATTTGCACTTTATATACAGTATATACTGTATACATCTTGCGTACAGCATATAAACTATATAAACTTTTTACTCAATATATAAAAATGTGTAAATATACTTTTATATCGTATAGTGTATATTTAAAAAGTTATATATTAATGACTGTATTTACTGTACTCTTTGTCATTCTCATATATGTTAATATATAAATTTATATATTCTGTATTTATATTACTTATATTTGTCTTATGTTTTTATGTATCTTTTATGCATTTTCTCTTTTCTTCCCTTTCTTCAGTACACCTTTCGAATACTGTATATTAGCGTTTAGACACAGCTCATTCTGCATTGCACCATTTTGTATTCAGCCGTCTATTATTCTAATATTAGCTCTCTATATCAATTGAATTAGCCATTAAATCATAACAAGCGAAATTACATAACAAACTCTTACAATCGGCTGCTTAATACATTTCTTTTTTCATTTTACTGCAACGCCATACAGGTTAAGAAGCATACTGTATCCCTTTTACAGAGTATGTGCTTGTGTTTCGTGTATATGCGTGCGTGTGTGTGTATGAGTGTGTGTCTATGTGGCGATTGTGTACGTAATGCGGACGTACGTGTCTTTTGCGTTTGTGTGTAGAGTTATGTGGCGATGTGCGAACTATAAACATCAATATAAATATATCTTTATAGTTTTTATAGTAAACCTTTCTTTCTAATTATCTTTCTTTTTGTGTTTTTTCTTTGCAGTGTGCGTGAATGCGTGATTGCAATGATATTTACTTTACATGTGTCGTATAGAGTGAAAAAGTTTGCTTGTAACACGTGCTTCTCAATTCTACGAGAATAGAATGTTGTATTGTTGTTGTTTGCTCTGTTTGATATGAAAATAGATTTAAATAGAAAGGGGTTAAAGGTTATAATCTTTTAGTTATATATTTGTATGTATGTATCTGTGTATGTTTGTTTGAGTGTTTGCTTTGTATATACATATATAAGTGTAACAGTTAACTTTTGCATGCACAACATTTACGTCAATAATCAAAAAACGTAAAAGAATATTAGTTTGTTTTTTTTGTTTGTTTGTTTCGTTAACGAAATAACAAAGATGAATGGGGCGTCTATTTTTTGTTCTGTTTTCCTTCTTTTGTTTGTTCCAATTTAACGCCGACTCATCAAATTTGATAAACACAAATTAATTACAAGAAAATGAAACTCAAAAATATTTAATGGCTGTAGAGTTTAACCATAAAATTAAATTTTCACCAGCTAGCATTAGTAGGTGGCTTATGGTGGGCAGTAGGCGGAGAAGGGGCGTAAAAGGATGGGGGATAATACCCTGCACCGTATCCCCTCTCGTAGTTGAACGTCTGACTGGGTAAAGAAGAAGCATAAGATTTGAAAGCGTCGTAACCATGACAATATTGATCCGCCGAATAGTCCGGTGTGGGATAAGGCGGCACGTACGATTCGGTATAGTTATTAGCCAATGCAGTTCGACTAGAGTAATTACTGCGGATTACTGATTCTCGATTGGCGTAAAGTGATCTCAAAAGATGCGACGCAGGGAGAATACCGGGTGTCTCTTCAGTTGGTAGATGGCGGTTCATTGCCTCTTCTAGATCCCTAACTGACGAATTAGGAGCGGCGTCACCAACACCAGGAGATACTTTGGCCAAATCTTGTTGAGAAGGTGTCGACACAAGTTTGGTTGGAGATGTTCTTTTTTCTTCTTCTTCAAGCTCTTCATCCTCTTCTTCCTCCTCCTCTTCCTCCGTATTTTGGTGAAATTTTCTTCCTCTCTTCTTTGGCTTATCCATTTTCCTTCGACCAACACCTAGCGTTTACGTTGTTTTTTTTAATTCATTAACATATTGTAAACAAACAGAGCGCAATTGTCTCAACCGTCAAATAATATTTAAACAAAACACAACACAAGTATTTATTTCCTCTTACCTTTCTCTTCTTCTTTGTACAACACCTCCAGCGCTTCCGTTACTGGACCGTCCTTGACCTTAGAGGGCTCCGGTGTGACCGACGTTATGGGTGATGCAAACGGTAATTGACGACTATCTAAGACGCAGTTGCCCCGCTCGACTCCACTTAATGAAGATAAAATTGAATTTATACAAGGGACAAATTTTTACCGACAGGTGGCGTTACCTGAGGACATAATTGACAGCAATGATATTTTGTTCGTCGCTGTGCTTGGAACTGTAGACGGCCGTTGCGCAAGTTTGAAGCCATACGTAACCTCCACTCTTGTTCAAGAGCCGGTAGTAATCGGTCATCACTTGACCTTTACTGAGCACTATAAACATAAAGAAAAAGCGTCTTTATTTAATAGAAAGATAAAGGATAAAGGGAGTAAATAACATTGAAATAGCACCACGAGGCTTTTAGATTGAAAAAGTAAAAAACAAATAGATATCTAAATTAACGAATAAAAAGATAAAGAAAAAGAAGAACAAGAACAAGAACAAGAACAAAAAGAGCAAGACTGCCGATATTTAAAGTTAATTTTACATTGACAATTTATATGTTAAACAAATAAAAGAAACGCTGTTCGGGAACAACCACCGTTATTTGACCTTTACGTAAGACTAATAGCGGGAACAGCGGGACGGAAAACAAGTAGAAAGAAACATGGCAGAGCCGATTGGCTAAAAGAGACGCCGCCTTTTTAGGCCTAAACCAGGCGTTATTGGTAGACGACTCACGTAGGCGCCGCGCTTCCGTCGCAATTCTGCATGCGAGCAACGGTCGGCCTTTGGGATTTTTCCGTGCATATATACATTGAATATTTACATTTATTACTTGCTTTTTCACGTTTTTATTGACATTCCGTACCATGTCAAGATTTCTATTCTATATTCGATAACGAAATAAAATTACATTGCACAATCAGTTGTTCCGTTTCTCATCATTTCTCCCCCCCTCTCTCTCTCTCTCTCTCTCTCTCTCTCTCTGCGTCTTTCCTTCTCCCCGTTCCTACATCCTCCTCTTTCTGGTCAGGGGAATGAGAGAGGCTCTGAGAGCAAGAGAAACTAAAGAGTATTAAATAGAAACTGCGTGCAGTGAAGTACAATGAACTTGTTGGCGATTATCTCATAATCAGAGTTATAAAATATGATTATTTAAGAGAATTATGGTCCATATCAATTTTTAAACAATCACTTGCTTAATGATAATTGAAAAAGGAAATGGTAAAGTGATTGATCGCAAAAAAATTCCTTTTTCATTAAGCACCGTAATAAAAGCTATAAATGTCGTCTGGAACTAGGCTCTGATCGCGTGACGACATTTAAACACAAATTTCTTCCATATTCCTCATTTACATATGCTCTAAATGTACGTAAAGTGGACATGCAAAAGTAATTTGTACTAAGAGTTGAATATTAAAGGGGATAATAACCTCATTTATCCCGGATCACGTTCCATTTTTTTTCTCTTTTGCTCTCTTATACTTTACGCTAAGCAACTCAGCTCAACTCTTGCTATTCAACAGTCTTCTTCGCGCTGTTCAGACAGCGTTTACTTTATTCAATTCCGCCCTATATGTTTCTTTTTATTTCACTCATTAAATACCATAAAAAATACAGGCGCAGTGTTTTACTGTCAGGGACCGTGTGCATTTATCCTAAATCTGCTATAGATCAATATCACTTAATCACCGTTCCCCTCGGGTAAAGTTTTTCCTATAATTGCGCAGGGGAAAATGGCAAAACTATAAAGGTAAAGAGAGTGATTGAGAGAAATAGGGAGTGAGTGAGAGAGAGAGAGAGAGACACAAGAGTTTGGATGGAGAGATTGCAACAAAGTGTCTAAACAAATAAACAAACTAAACACACTAGTGGGAGGAAAAACGTATGAAAAATGTTGCCACCCACTTTTTATCCAAATGAAAATATTAATTAGTTTATAAAAAATTCAAAATAATAGACTATCAATCACTTATCCAATTTTCGCAACCCTCAGAGGTGACCTCCTCCTAGAGGCAGGGGTCATTTTTACCTTATAAATATTCTATATACTCCAACTAGACGCTCTCTCTCTCTCTCTCTCTCTCGCTCTCCTCTCTTAAAACACCTGATAATGTATAATAATCCACCACTGGTACTCACAGTCTAAGTGCGCCTTACGTAACTTCTGTCCATCCTCTGCATGGCAAAGAGAATATAAAGTGACGCCGTTCATCTCGTCTACGCTCATGTCCATCAAGTCGGCTATTCTTGGTTCAACGTATGTTACTTGAAAACCTTGATTTAAGCGGCTGACGAACATGTCCGAGTCCAAAGGTAATTCGTTGACTGTGGGAGGAGGTAGAGCTATAGCCATTCCCACAATTCCTAATAAGGGTCTCTGTGATGCCTTTCTAGGTAATGAGAAAGTGAACTGGTGTCTAAGGCGAGTAAGAATTTGAACGACCCTATTATTTGGACAAAAAAAAAAGACTCGTAAGATAATTGTTGAATGATTAGTTACTGCATTTTTTGGCCTACCTGTAACCGTTACTCTTAACATGAACGCCTCTCTTCGTTAGCGTCGACTTCATTCGAACGCAAAAGGAACGTTCGCTGGAACGCTTAGTTATTGTTTGTCCGACGATAGCCGTCGCTGTAGACAAAAAACGATCCATCAAAAGGGTAAATCTCTATCCAGGGCATTCACTTTGTATTATTCGAAATCTCGGAAAGGAGAGAGAGAAGAGACAAAATATGCGTAAAGGCGTAGAAAGACTATACTATCTAAATCTCTTCTTTTCTCTCCTTCTTTCATTTTCTTATCATTTATCATGCACCCCCCTTTCTGCCTTAGATTATTCGACCAAGTTTATTGATTTACACTGACGTAAAGAGAGAACTATTAAGAAAGGAAGAAAGAAGAAAAGAGGCAAAGAAGAAAGGAAAAAAAGGTTTATTTTAGGATTTTCCCTTCTCTGAAAGAAAAAAAACGAAAAAGAAAAGCGTTACAGTTAAATAATGCCTCCTACAACTATCCTACACCGACGTAAAATAGAACGATTGCTTTATCAGCGACGCTCTAGCGATATGACAGATGAGCTAATTAAATGATGTGTACAGTTAGCGGGGGCGGCCGACTTTCGTTGACCCGCGTCCGGTCGGCTGGACGTCAGGGGCGTCTAGTGCGTCTATTGTAGATGCCCTGAGCGGACAAGGCTGCCCCTAGGGCTGTTTGTCGTCACGCCTTTGACTGAGAACACGGTTATGACGCCGAGTTTTTTATTGGCCTTTACTCCTCTCAATCAGTAAACGACTATAAAATGGAAACATTACGTATACACTATCTAGTCGACGTCCAATTCCGCCTATTTACTCCAAATAACGACTGTCTTTATTAGATATGCAGTAAAGGAGATAGCATATTATACATTACTCATGTTTCTCCAGGACAAAAGGGGTCAGATCAAGATAAGAAAATACGGTATTTCTATACCAGTATATACAGTATATATATTATCTAGACTAAAAACTCTCGTTTAGAATCTAACGTCGTCGTGGAGCGTCAACTCTAGACGCTCCGTGCCGAGAATTAGCAAAAGCGACGGCCATTAAGCGTGATTACTTACCTTTGTCGGCGGGCGTCGGTGACGTCCTTTCGTCACCGTTTCTGGGCGACGGCAAGGAGACTCCATTCGGTGCGCATAAACCTAATTGTTCGGCCACCTCCTGCTGATCGGCTTGGTGAATATAGTCGAAAAAGTTACTTCCGGTCATCTCAACCTATTTTAAAAAGCAAGCGAAAAAATAAGCAACCGTAATAAACAAAAAAAATATAGGGTTAAACAAACAACTTTTGTAGTTGTCGACCGTAGGTCATCTAGACCAGCAACAGGCGGAACGACGCGTCACGCAGGCGTCACATCGTTACGAGCCTCGTGACGCCCGTAAAACGTTGCTTATCTGAGGCGCGAGTTCGGCGAGCGGCAACAAAGAGACGTCTATTACGTTCGCCGCCGTCATTATGGACAGGAGACGCCCCGAGAGACGCCGCAGGAAATAAGAGCATTAAGCGGCGTCTCGGGCTTGTTTGTGTCAACAACTTCGTGTTGCAAGGGGTCAAATTGTTTTTTTTTTTTCTTACCTGAGAGAGGCCTAAATAAATTGAGACGGTTTCCGAAATGTAAAGGAAGCGGCCGTCTGTTGTGAGGGCAAAGGCGAAGCCGTCAAGGCTCTGTTCAAATAAAAAAGAAAGATGATTAAATATCCTCGAAAATACGGTCAGTCGAATTAACAAAACAAACAAAGAAGAGCGTATTGTCAATAAAACAAACAGAACAAAAACGGATAGTATGATAGTGGAGAAGGATAAGAATGAGAAGGAGAAAGAGAAGGAGAAAGGAGGGACGAGAGAGGAGAAAAAGGGGGAAAAAATTGAAACTGTTTCAATAATTACTGTCGTTGTTGCACAAATAATAAATGATAATGAAAGAAAAGGTTTTTTTTAGAAAATCTTCTGGAAAATGACTAATTCTTCTCTTTTTTCTCCAAATTATACTCAATCATAGTTTACTTAATGCAGATGGAATAGTTTTGTAATGGCCAGAGAAAGGCCGAATGAAAAAGGCATCTTATAAACTGCCAGCTCTTTACGCCCTTTATCTTCAGCCAGATTTTTAATTTCCATCATATTCTCTGTCCAGATTTTACAGGATGATGACATTATGACCCCGGCCATCCCCTCTTTTCATAACTTACATCCGGTCGTTACAGAGGATTAGCGCACCTTATCAGCGCTGTCCTTTCATCTCATCCGTCCGTCTTGTGTACACATGAAACGCCGGACCGTCACGCTTGATCGACGCTTTTTTCGATTTGCGTCACCGACTTTGATTTACGACGTCAGCTGCCCGCAACGCTATTGACAGTAGTGTCCAGTTCGGGGCGCAAGATCGCTATCTTTCACCAACTGCATTTCTATACGTACTCGACCGCAATTTTTTACCAGCCAGCTCCAATCTATATGTATATTTTTTCCGCTTTCCACCCTCATTTTTTCTTTACCCTTTGCTTTTTTCCCTACTGTCCACTCATTTCTTATTCTCCCTTATTTCTCTTATTTCACTTTTGTGAAAATATAATATACAGAGCGTCACTTCTCTTCTCATATTGAGTATCTATTTCTTTCTTTAATATTCCTATCAACCATTTCATTTTTTATTCATCTATTCCATCGCTAGATATTTTATACTCTCTTTTTCCTTATGATTCCTCTTCTTCCTCTTTTTTATCATTCCTTTTCCCTCCTTCCTTCCTCTTCCAAACCCCTAATTTCCAGTTCACTCACTATCCCCTCTCCGTCTTCCCCTCTATTTTTCAGTGCTATATCGGTCTTTCAACCTTTCCCCTCCTCTTAACCCCTCCCTAAAAAACGCACTCGAACCCTTAAATAACTATGATTAACTACAATAATCCTATATCCCCTTTAACGACCGGATTGTCGAAAACTTGTATGTGCAGTTGTTGCATTTTTTTTGCAGTATATTGTTGCAGATTAACCTAAGATGAAAAACGGGCGAGGAGTTGGCGCTGATAAAGTGCCCTAATCCTAGTTCCATAATGACTGCTTTCTAATAAAAGTCCCTGTGGGAAAAAAATGAGCACTGCAATTTTGCAATTTTGTTTTGCTGTTTATCCTCAGATGCTGGTAAGGACAAGGGGGTGAAGAGGCTGATTAGAGAAGAGTTTGAAGAGAAGAAGAGGAGGAGGAGGAGGAAGAAGATCGAAGATTTTGATAATTTAATAGTTAATTTTTTTCAACTATTAAATATTTTGTATCAACAAACGAATGAAAATAATAATAATAGAGACTTTAATAATGGAATTATTATTAAAGAGATGCCAAAATGAGAGAAGACAGATTTCTGTTTTCATCTTTCTCTATTAAAAACTATCTCATAACCATTCGGTATGTTTCCTCAATAATTAATTAGTAATTGATTAATTAATTAATTACACTATTAAATTCTCAATCCACAGAAATCCAAGGGGTATATACGTAACAGAATGGGTATATGTATCCATTTTCATCCTTGTCCTTCTCCTCCTCATTCACATTCTCCTCATCATTTGCTCCATCGTCAAACTCATCCCCTCGTCTGCTTCTCTATTTTCATTTGCTCCTCCATTTCTTTTCCGTGGCTTGAAGAACATCTAAGAATGTATAGATAGTACAATTCTTATCTTTTGCCTTATTCTCTTAGGATTGCCCAATTTAAAATTCTCTTTTTTTTTCAAAGCTTTTAGTCAGAGTATACCCCTCTTCTTCTCGTACAGGCCTATATAATAGAACATCTGTCCGACATGGCGTTCCTTTTCCGATTCGATTACGTCGCTCATTAGACGCCCGTCGACGTTCGTTTCTCGGGAGACGTCGCTGACGAAGACAATGTCCAGGCAAGGACTCTTATAAATAAAAAATAGACTTTCATGCAAGTTTTTTCAGCATTGACTTTTCGCGGCAAAAAATTTATTCAGAGGGCGTCTACGGGGCGGTAACGCGACTAGTCGTCGAGCGGATTGCGTTCGCCCTTCGTGACCTTGACCTTTTGATTTTCGACGCCTTTTCTTGTTTAGCGGTCGCAAATATTTGGAACAGCGTGAAATTAGAAAATATCTGCCATAAGACAAAAGATGTAAGACGGAGAAGGAAGAAGCCAAAGTAGGCAAACAGATAAATGAACTTTAGAACAAACAAACAAACATTTCGATGACGATTATTAAAGTAAACATAAACAATAAGAAGATAAAAAGTACGAAAATGACAGTAGAGAATAGGTAAACAAACAAGACAACTAAATAATAACGAAGACTAAATGACTAAGAAAAAAGTATATACCTGTAAAATATGAGTTCCCTGTTGCAAGTCGAAAGTTTCAATACCTAAACTTCTATTTCGGCGTCCCTGAACTGAGGCTGACGAATGGAAAAACAAATGAAATCCCTAAATAAAACGAATGTTTCAAAACATCTACAGTATATATACAACTTATAACCAGCCACATTGGAGAAGATGTAGACAGTCTTTAATTGAATGGGATAAGAAAAAGAAGGATATAAAAAGAAACGACTACCGACTTAAGAAGAGAATAAGCGTTGTAAAACGGTATTATTAAATGGACTATAAAAAAGAAAGAGTAGTCCGTACGTACTCTTTTTTTTTTATATATATAAATTTTATAGATGTATATAGACCATTTAAATCTGTGTAGACGCAGGAACATAGATAGATGCGCTGCATTTTCACATATAGATATATATGGGAATATATCTGAATGGATAGCAATAAACTAATTTAGTTGACGGATAGTTGTAAAAAGAAAGCAGTGTTTTCGTCAACCGACGCTACTCTCTCTCTCTCTCTCGCGCGCGCGCTTTGAAGAGAGAGAGAGAGAGAAGAAAGAAGCGAGGATAGCGGATGAAAAGAAGAAAAAGTACACTGCATTAACTAAAAATAAATTGGCATCATTCTGAAAATTGAATGGAATAAAATCCATAATAAATAAAATTTATTTAAAGAACGAGCCGCTTTTTATACAACAGTTCAAAAGGACCGACTTTTCTCGCCTAATCACTGGCCTACAGTCCGCTCACCGCGTTAAGGTCTATGTAAATTTTTTTCCATTCTTTCTCGTTCGGGGAGGTTTTCTGTTTTGTTTTCGTTCTAAGTATTTTTATTGCTGTTGCGTCCGGGGTGGGCGCGCTTGATTTACGCCGCATTACGACTAACGACCGAAAATGAATGTCAACGGACGCACGGATTAGTTTTTTTCTTATCCTCATAAAAAAAGAGGACAAACCTTGACCTTCGGGGCTCGTTTACAACATTACTTCCAATCTAAAAGACAAACCTTTCTTACATCCTTCGCTCGTCCATGGCGGATCGCCATGGGCAGAGAAGTCGCGTAACTTTAAGTAAGAGATCGTCAAACGGATTATAGACGCCTTATCGAGTTGAGATGTAATGGCGCCCGGAAGCGGAAGCATTTTAGCCAATTCATAAAATTCGTAGTTTTCCTTTCCCCTTCTCGACCTAGCAGCATCCCTCGATTTTTCCTTGCGTAACTCCAAAATACTAGGATGAATAGAGTAAATAGTTAAATTTTACGAAGAAAGAGAAAAAAGTATGGGAATGACAATTGAACGAGAGAAGAGACCAGAGATAGGAGGCCAAAAAAAAACCATTCAATTTTTAAAGCGGAAAGAACGAGAAAGAAAGAGAGAGAGAGAGAGAGAGAGAAAAGAAATAACTAATAATAAATAACATTGGCACTTCCTCGTTCTAATTGAAAATTCGTCATGTTTATAACGACTGTTTGTGACTTTGACAAAGACGACGACAATACATCATGTTTTTTTTTTTTTTAAAGCACTTCCGATTTTTCTGTAATGGACATTTTTATTTTACGACTGGTGTATTTGACATTGAAAAAAAATATACGTGGGTGGTATTCTTCAAAATATATAAATATAACTTTATATATATATCTTTATATGATAATAATAAAATTCTTTTTTCTATTTTTAAACATTCTCATTTCTCTCTCTCTCTCTCTCTCAATATAGATTACATGCGTTTTGAACACTTATTTATATCCTACTCTAACCCATTATCTATATACATATCTCCTTATATATCTCCTTATTTATCTCACCATCCATCTATACTTCCATCCATCTTTTTTTTCGTTTCTTCCTATTCTCTCTTTCTATCTGTCTATCTATCTCCCTCCCTCCCTCCCTCGCTCCCTCCCTACTTCGCCAAGTCATTTCTTAAAAAAACACCAGAAAGTAACTATTTAATTGGCTTCTAAACCATTTTAGATCGTCTTAACTTGCTTAATAATAAATAAACAGCTGTTTTTGACTGTTGCTGACAAGGAGAACGCGATAAGAATGTCCATTTGTAATTATAGGCTTTTACGCTATCTCAAGTAGTGCAAACTTAATTTTTTCTCTAGAAAA